CAGGGGAGGTTTCGCCCCAGCTAGCATATTCGAAAAATCTTCAAAGTGGACTAGGTGTGTCGGCTAATCTCCTGTTCTCCACTCGGGCAGAGTCAATCGATGAAGATTTGATTTTCTTGCGGATTTTCCGATTCTGTATGTGCGCGAGGTGTAGCGTAAAGAAAAGTAGGCACCATTTTCATCATAAGCAACGTGGGCTTGGCCCCGCTGCTTATGTTCTGACGCGAAAAATCCATATCAGAACACTTCATTGATTTGTACCTAGTTCTTTTCACAAGTTACACTCGAAATCCCTGAGATGAGGTAGGCGTGGCTGCGTACTTCAACTAAACGTCGTGGTGGCTATGCTTTTGGAGAGATATTTTCATTTTGACCCAAATGTGGTCACGTCTCTGTCCAACAAAGAACAAGATGGCGGTTGTCTCAAATTGAAATATCCCACGAGTAACCAGTTCTGTGCCATGTTCGAATGCCACGCCTACCCGTCTCAGGGATAAGGAGTATACCACCTTTCCGGTCTTCGTTTCTCCAGCTCGTCCCTGGCTACAAACTCGTAGAGCCCTTTCTTCTCATTTGAAAACTGGTATATGCTTCAGATTTTAATTGCTTATTGAAACCGGATCCCTCCTGACATTGCACACCGGGTACTGCACCGCGTTTATATTCTGAATAAATACGACCTACTGAAGTTTACTCCATCTGCTAGACTCCTTTTTTGGGTATTCCGTATAAGTACGACAACTTCGAATTTTCTTCTTCTGTACGACCCTCCCTCTGCACGGCTGTGTAGCGCAGTGGAACAGGAAAATTGCACAAACGGAAAATTTCTTCTTGCTGCGCGAAAGTACTACCTCCCCGTCACCGACCCCAAAATACCACCCGTACTGGAATTTTGCCAAAGACGAGCGCCTCAAACCAAAAGAATTCAACCATTAAAAAGTGTGTGAAGGCAAACATGAATACTCTCCGCAGCGGCAAAATCGCGACCTCCTCTCGGCAGTATTTTTCACAATGGGTGCTGCGCCTGGATTCTTCTTGCTACCGTAACTTAATTGTGTTGTGTACGCGAACTGCACAATACATCACTCATTGGGCGTTCTGCCATCGAATAAATTAGCGGGAGCGGTCGTTCGGCGCGGCCGGATTGCCATTGGGGCGCATCGGCTGTAATTGCCACCCACCACCCTGCCGATGCGACGCGTTTCGTGGGTCGGACAACTCGTCCACGTTTATTAATGTCTTGGTTGACGTCTTGATCCACCTACGTTGGCAGTGCGCCAACA